CCCACTCCGCCAGGTCCTGTGCCAACATGGTTCCTACAAATCAAAACCCCATCTGATATTCAAGGAACTTCTACTAGCATCCCCAATCTCAAAGCTAAATTCTGGGCCTTCATGGAAAACAACCAAGTATCATATATTAAGTCAAGAGTTAATAGAGATCCAAAACGACCACTCAAGAGGCCGCACTACATAATTGATCCAAGCAAAATGCTCACAAAATGTCAATGCCATAATACAGGGACACATATCACCGTACCTACCGGTGAAGCCATGTCTCTTTGGACCTACTCAAAAAACAATCAACACTATCTAGCCAACACATCTGAAGAAATAATAGAACAGCTGCAAGCACGCTCCGAAGCTAACACTACCCCCACCGTCATGATCAACAATATTCTATCTGGCAAAGATACCATCCAGTTAAATGCAAATATGGTAGAAGACATTAAGCAGTTGATATCGAACATCTGTTCTTTCCCAATAATAGACCTAACAACAAAAGATGATTTAGTCCTCATAGAAAATAAAGAAGTCAACTTAGCACTGCACTTAGTCCATAACCGACCTATCAACATACTGCTAACGATTATAGGACTTCTAGCAGCTATTAAAGAACAGACTTATATAACCATCAATATTCCATTCGTACTACAGCTAGACATCCCAAGCTACCTCAACCGAAGAATCAAAGTCTCATATAGTCACCTAATTAACTGTATCAACGAGCTCTGCACTACGAAAGAGATCAGACTAACCCTACGTAAGCAGACCAGCACCCTGGTACCTCAGGAAAGTGATAACATCATCTCAATTGACAATATCCTAGCAGTTGACAACTACATAACTAGCCCAAGAATTAAAAACACTTGGAGCATGGGTCCAACACACTGGATCAAAAGAGTCCAACAAACATACAGAACGGCAGACCTCATCAATAGCTCAACTCTTAAAGAAAGATGGAACCAAGCACCTGATTTGGAATCTCTCCAAATACTCTATTTAGC